GATTGGCAGCGCCTTCGTCTAACAATAGGACTGCTATTATGCTAGCTTTATTGTTGTGCAGGAGTATGACACCACGTCCTGAACGGATTCAGCAGAATCAGTGAGAGACAAAGAATATCTTAGGAAAATAGTTACTACTTAGCGAGGATAACAAAAAACCTTTCTTAAAATTAAGCGAAATAGTGCTATTTGCTATGGAGCAGGACATTTTACCTGCGGTAATCGTCTTCCAGAACTTCGTAAACCATTTATTATCAAGGTTCGGACATGTGGAGGTACAAAATCTGGTGGTGGAGGAACCTAAACGCCAACGTTTTAATGAGGGTGAAGCGATGTTATAAAGCCACATTTACTCTCCAACTAATTATTGCAAAATTAAAGTTCCAACTGACATTCGCATTTCTCAGGAATCCATATCGAGTGCAAAGCGATGGTCGAAGAGCACTTCGATCGAGAAGCGGGGTTACTGGCCTAGAAACGAACCTTTCGCTCTTTGGTACCACACATAGGTTAAAAATTCTAAGCACACACCGGAAACCTCTGTCAACTATGCCATTGTCAATAAGATGATAATACAAAAGGCTGAAGCATTGCTGGCATTCTACTGTTGTGCAGGAGTATGATACCACGTCCTGAACGGATTCAGCAGAATCAGTGAGAGCAAGATCTCTGCATTATACTAGTTAGTACTGACTCGTTCAGGCTCGGTGTGCAACGTCAAATCGGAAAAAGTGTACATCGCCTCTTCGATACTGCTCGCTTGATATCGTGCATTGTAAACAATGCATTGGCCACTTTCTGGATGGATGACACATGGGCACTAAATTTTAATTTTGCGATCGTGGCCACAACATAATCTCTGCAAATCTGACAGTCAACCTGAGGAATATCGTTGCCATTTGCTCGCTGCCGCACAATCTCCATAAAATCCCTCAGATCCGACGTAACCTGTGCCGTTACAAAAAGCGGCACGGCAAATAGGAAAAGGATCTTAAAACCCATTCACATCCCCAAAGAGTCGCTAACAAAAGGGTATCACTCTGAAAGAGCGTAAGAGTAACTGGCATAATATTACCAAAGAGCGCTTTGCTGATGCAAATAAAGTTTTCAAAAGCGGCAGATGTTCTTTAGAATGAAGAAGGGTTTTGTGGGACTAGGTAGAGAAGAATGGAAATTCAGAGAACCAAAACAGGTTTGGGTAAATGGACGAACATGTCTGCGACGATTGTGATTGTCGGCACAAGCAAATGTATCAGATGGGCATTGATAAATTTTCTTTAAACCGCAAGGATACAAATCAACAGTGCGCTGAATGTTTTTTAGAGTCTCATACGAGCCGAGCGTTAACATAATACATCTTTTCCAAGGGCAAGCAATCTTTTAAAATTCGTTCTGAATGTACCTGTAGCTTGTTGAAAAAGCTGTGCGTCAAGGAAATAAATTCCTCTGCACTGTAAGCCACATATTTGCTAGAAGTATTTAAGTTTCTAAACTACTAAAGACATTCATCATTCTGGGGAATGACTCATAGTTTGATAAAATTATATTGGGGCCATTTCCCACTATAAATGTCTACAATTTGTAAGCAAGCATATTGCATAAAAACTGTAAAACATTAATATGTTGACATTTATGCATTAATTTTGAGGAAAACATTACAGTTTTCTAAAAAAACGTGAGTTCTAAACTAATTCTTGATTCTCTCATAGATGAAGTGGAGTGATACTTTTGAATATCAATAATGATGTCAGAGTTCGAGGGAATTCTGGAAAAGCTGACAGAACTTAGAAATGCTTTTAAGTTTTCAGCTCAACTGTAGTAATTGGGATACGAAGCATATTCAGTAAATGAGTTAATAAGAAAATAGAAAAAAGCTTTATAGCTACGTTTTATAGGTAAAATCAAAAATAAGAAATTTGATATTTAATTGCAAAGAGATCAGCACTAGTGCAGAAACAATTATGGTCGCACAGTATTTGCGACTGCATGCAACTGAACAGGTAAAAAGATCAAATTCATTACAGAACTTTCTTTCTGATGCCGCTTTAATTGATTGTACCTTCAGCATCTGAAACTTCTACTTTTTTATAATTTAACCTGTTCTAACTAGGAAAACGCGAGTTGGAGCTTTCGAAGAGACATCAGGGCAAAATTCACAGAAACTCTCGCTGATTTCAACGAAATAGAGCGTTGCAAATTTCAAAATCGATTCCAAATGAAGGAGCAGATTATGAACCCTAATGAACCTTGCATTTGTGAAGTTTTATGGCAGTGAAGTTAAGCATGGAGTCCCTTTTATTATGGGAAATAATCAGTTTTTTCTAAATGATGAAAAAATAGCAATGTGATGTAACAATTAGTACATCGTCACCGAGTAAGATAAGGTTCGAAATTTTAATA